CCGGACCCGAGGTGTCCACAGCCCATCCCGACGACAAGAAGGCCACCGCCACCCACCCCGGAGCCACTGAACTGCTACCCCGGCAGCCCGGACCCCAGATGTCCGCAGACCAGCCCGACGACAAGAAGGCCACCGCCGCCCACTCCAGAGTCACAGAACTGCTACCCCGGCAGCCCGGACCCCAGGTGTCCGCAGCCCACCCCGACCACCAGAAGGCCACCACCCACCTGCTACCCGGGGAGTGCGGACCCGCGCTGTGCGTCCGCACCACCACCCCCACCCCCGGAGCCCACCCCGCCGCCCCCGGCCTGCTACCCCGGGAGCACGGACCCGCGCTGCGGGGAGCGTCCCCCTAACTGCTACCCCGGCAGCAAGGACCCGCGGTGCCCGCCACCTCCAGTTACCCCTGCGCCCAAACCAAACTGCTTCCCAGGGAACAACGACCCCCGGTGCCCGAGGCCACCGACCACCGACTTCCAGCCATCCACCTACCTGCCACCTCTGCCACCTACAACCCCGGCCCCAACCTCACCACCTCCAAGGTGTTACCCTGGCAGTCCGGACCCTAGGTGCCCTCCCCCGCCCCCACCGGCACCTACAACACCAGCACCACCAAGATGTTACCCTGGCAGTCCTGACCCGAGGTGCCCTTCCCCGCCCCCACCGGCACCTACAACACCAGCACCACCAAGGTGTTACCCCGGCAGTCCGGACCCGAGGTGCCCTCCCCCACCCCCGCCGGCACCAACAACACCAGCACCACCAAGATGTTACCCTGGCAGTCCTGACCCGAGGTGCCCTCCCCCACCCCCACCGGCACCTACAACACCGGCACCACCAAGGTGTTACCCTGGTAGTCCGGACCCGAGGTGCCCAGCGCCTACAACTACACCCCCGCCGTCTCCGCCATACGAAGAACGGCTAAACTGTTACCCGGGGAACAGGGACCCACGCTGTCCGCCGTCACCTCCCCCGCCGACATCGGGCCCTCCATCTCAGGCTCCACCAAACTGCTATCCAGGTAACATAAAACGTGCTTCATAATACCGTTCGCATCGTGCACCAACTGCTAGTGTTGGATTGTAAACTAGCTATATGTACGCCAGACCACGTCTCGCGTAACAGGCTTCGCGATATCTCACGAAACACTGTTACGCTGCGACGCGCCTGGCGCACATAT